GTCAGTGTGTCAGTTTTTCTTGGTGTTTCTTAGTGTCAGATGGTAGTGTGCTGGTCGGGGTGTTTGTTAGTGTGTCAGTCAGTTAGTCTGTCAGCATGTTAACGTGTAAGTCTGAGTGTTAAGTCTGTCCCTCAGGGTATCAGTCTGTTAGTCAGGGTGGTACTGTAGGTTATAAGAGTTAATTCAATGAGGCTCTTTGTCTGTGGGTCAGTCTTTCAGTCAGGCAGTGAGCCCAATTCCTCATCAGTCTTTTATTTCCCTGCTATTTCCAGTCACAGTCCCCAGCGGCGGGAGAGCGGGATGGGGCGGGGCTGTGGGTCCGGACAGACAGACGGACTCCCGGCTCCCCGGCGACAGCGGGAGAGCCGCCCCCTCTCCCGACTTCACAGAAAGACTCTTTCCCAGTCTAGGAGAAGGGAGGAGTAAGTACACGGGGGTTTTTTTTATCCCTGGGCAGGAGCGAGTCATCGCCCCAGCTGCGCAGGCGGTGTCCCTCTGTATAAAGAGACCTTGCGGAGCCCAGTGCAGCCGCACTCCGAACCCAGCACCGCCAGCGAACCCGTCTCGCCCCTCAGGGCTCGGTTCGCCTTCCACAGCCAGGTGAGTGGGGCTGATCGAGCACGGCCGGTTGTAGCAGACGAGACACAGAGTACCAAAGCGCAGGTCTTGTGAGACGGTTCTGCTTTGTACCGTTGCGAAACGTTAATTCGTGTTCAGAATCCCAGAGAAGAATGAAGCAGCCCGCGTTACGAAAGGTGCCTCTTGTTATTGCCTGCAACAGGAACAGCCACAATAATAATTGCAGCGCTCACCGCAGTTGTTATTGCTTCAGAACGAAGCACGCGTGGGCGCGCCTGGCTGTGGAAGGTGTGTGCCTCCTCCCGGCGCGCGACGCGACCCCACACCACGCCCCTCGCGAGCCGGAGACCGGACACGCGCTGGAGCTACACCGCGCGGAGGGAGGGAGTCAGAGAACTGGGGGGGCTGGGGGACTTTCATAAAAGTTAGAGGCCTCGTCAAAATAGCATTTATCGATATCTCAGATCGATATTTCAAATATCTTTAAATATTTATTGCAGGTATATTTGAATGAGAACTCATTTCATACGGATATCTTTAACTGACTTATAGAGTTGTGTCTCACTGTGTGTCAAGAGATCTTGAATTGATTTAGAGGTATCTCGACATGATGGTTTGGTTACCGTGCTGCAGTAAATATACTGACAGGTTGGTGCCACATGGTAAGAATCCGATTGCGGTTCTGAGCCTCCGGACTGAGCTCTCGTGTTCTTGTGTGCTCAGCAGAAGCAGAAGCAGAAGCTCTGGGCGCTCCGTGCAGCCGGCCGGCCGGTGGGAAGCCATGTCGAAGCTGGAGGTGGCGGTGAGGAGCCTGGTGGAGCTGTTCGAGCACTACGCCAGCCAGGACGAGCACAAGTGCCAGCTGAGCAGCGCCGAGCTCAAGCAGCTGCTGCAGGCCGAGCTCACATCCCCGGAGTTCAAGGCAAGAGGGGCTCCGAGCTGCACCTGCACTGCACACTCCTGCACTTGCACTGCACACTCCTGCACTAGTGACAGTGCACACTGCTGCACTAGTGACACTGCACGAGTGACACTGCACACACCTGCACTGCACACTTCTGCACGAGTGACACTGCACACACCTGCACTGCACACTTCTGCACTAGTGACACTGCACACTCCTGCACTTGCACTGCACACTCCTGCACTAGTGACAGTGCACACTGCTGCACTAGTGACAGTGCACACTGCTGCACTAGTGACACTGCACGAGTGACACTGCACACACCTGCACCGCACATTTCTGCACTAGTGACACTGCACACTTCTGCACTAGTGACATTGCACACACCTGCACTGCACATTTCTGCACTAGTGACACTGCACACTTCTGCACTAGTGACACTGCACACTCCTGCACTAGTGACAGTGTACACTGCTGCACGAGTGACACTGCACATACCTGCACTTGCCCTACACACTACTGCACTGCACACACCTGCACGAGTGACACTGCACATGTTTGCACTGCACACTGAGACCTACATGAGTACCGCTGCACAGAGGCACACACGAGTTACACTGCATGCAAAGCTGCACACAGAAATTTGCACACATCATGTACCCCCAACGGAGCACACAAAACACTGCACGCAGAACTTTAGACACAGCACGACACTCAAAATGCTCCTTGTGAACACAGAGCAATGCACACAGGACACTGTATCTAGCGGCTGTGACTCCTGATCAGCTCAAGTAAACTAAAAAGATCCCACTTGATCCCAGAGATTGGGGACCTCTGGGAAGTGTGCTGATCCAATCCCAGTGATGAACCCCCCCGTCTTCCTTCTGTTTGTGCCTGCAGACCAAGTTCGACCCCGCGGACATCGAGGAGGTGATGGCCAAACTGGACAAGAACCACGACGGAGAGGTCAACTTCCACGAGTTCTGCAAGTTCGTGGGCATGCTGGCCCAAGGCTACTACAGGTGCCAGAAGGGCAAGGCCAAGAAGTGACCACACCGACCGCCCCGGACCCTCACTGACCCCGCTCTGCAGCGCTGCACCCCACACCTCGCCGCCCCGCGCCCCAGCTCTGTCTCCATGCCCCACCCTGGTTATTACTCAAGGACCTCCTGACCTCAGTGTCCGCTAGCTTTCAGTCCAGTTGCTAGACCGGTATGTTGAGCTAATAAGCCTATGAATGAATTAGACCCTTGTAATGGCTGGTCCGGAGAGCTCTGGTCTCGTGTGGGCTTGATCGCAGTGGGATCTAGTGTGTGATTGTGCACAGGGCTCTCACTGTGAGCAAAGACATTAAAGAGTCATTTGTACCCAACACTTGTTGTCAGCTTGGTTCTTCTGTCTGGGTCATTGAAATAGCTGCATCACCTCGGGGGCACCTCGAACCTAGACACCAGCTCGAACCCTGACACCAGCTCTAATACAGACTCGAACCCTGACACCAGCTCAAACCCAGACACCAGCTCTAATACCGACTCTGACCCAGACACCAGCTCGAGCCCTGACACAAACTCCAACACTAACACAAACCCTGGCACCAAGGGTACAGCAGCAGTGCCCCCACCTGGGACTTGAACCTGCATCCCTCCAGTTTGGAGTCCACAGCCCTGAGGGGTCCTGCCTGCTGCTGCCCTGCTGTACCCCGGGGGTGTCCAGCTCCAGTCCGGTTAGCCCAGTACTTCACTCAATTAGGCCTAATTATTCAATCCACAAGGCCCGCTATCAGCCAATCACCCAATTCATTAATTAGACCTCTACAGTTCGGGTACTGGCCTGGAATGCCCTGGCCCTAGTCCAGTTCTTTAATTAACTGAGACCTTAATTGACCTATAAAGCTGGTTGATTGGCTCCTTGATAAAGTTCTTCCTGTTCAGGAGGTGGAGATCTCGAATGACTTTGTTACCTCCAGCATGTTAACAACTGAGCACAGCCAGAGACTCAGATTACTCCCGACATCTGGGAAACTGAGGTCTCGATTCCTTGATTGGACCATTAGCGTGGGATCAGGAGCCCCGGAATTAGGCAGTTGGGTGGAATGAAAATGTACTGGCCAGGGGCTGGGTGTCTACGCTCCACGCACAGATAGGGCATTTGCGCCCTCTGTTGGACAGTTCGTGTTATTCAACTTTTATGCTCTTCCTCGGCTCTGGCGGAGCAGCGCGATGTCAGATTCACACGCCGGCGGCCGGGGCTGGGGTTCCTGCAACAGCTCCGCTCGCGGGCTGGGCGGCACCTGCTCCCGTGACGCCGGCAGCGATTTCCAGTCTCACACGTCGCGATCGCCGCTGTCTCTGTCCAGGACTCCCCCCTCCGTGTTTGCTGTAAGAGATTGGAAACACGGAAGGAGGAACGAGTGGCTGGCGGAGGGGGGGGGGTGTGTGCGTGCGAGAGGCACAGTTCAGAGAGATCCCGCCGTGGGCCGAGGGAAAAGGAGGAGAGACTAGGAAAGAGAGAGAACGAGAGAGAGAGAGAGAGAGAGGGAATCGCAGAATTCCCACATCTGTCAGATTCAGAACAGCTTCCACTCCTACTGGAAGAGGAATCTCGACAGAGCTTCAGTCCAGTGTGTGATCTACTGGAACAGTGAGCCTGTCTCTCAATAATAATAATACAGTGTGTGATCTCCTGTCCCAGCCTGAGGAACAGACAGTGAGCCTGTCTCTCAATAATAATAA